TTTTTTTTGGTGAGAAAGAGTCTTGTTCTTCAGGCTGGAGTACAGTGGCCAATCTCATCTCACTGCAACCTCCACCTCCTGGGTTCAAGTGATTCTCCCGCCTCAGCCTCCTGAGTAGCTGGGACTACAGGCGCATGCCACCATGCCCAGCTAATTTTTGTATTTTTAGTAGAGACAGGGTTTCACCATATTGGCCAGGCTGGTCTCAAACTCCTGACCTTATGATCCACCCGCCTCCGCCTCCCAAAGTGCTGGGATTACAGGTGTGAGCCACCGATCTCTGGCTCTTTCAAGGCCCAAGGAAGGAAATGAAACCTGCCCTCACAGTCTGCTGCTACCACAGATGACATGGATTGACACCCTGTTGCAGGTATTGTTGTCAGGACAGTGTTCATGTTCTTGAGGCTGGATGACTAAATCCTGAGGCCTCTGGCTTTTGAGGACAGCTCTGACATCGCTTCCCCTTTCCCCTTCCCCATCAGCCAGTGGAACCCTGGCAGCCACTCCAAACAAACCATGTGTTCTCACCTTCAGGCATTAGAACTTGCTGGGCCCTCTGGCCAGAACGTTCCCCCCACCCCCACCATTCTTCATCTGATTGTTACCATATTTCAGATCACAGTTGAGCCACCCCTTCCTCCAGGAAGCCCTCCTGGACACCTGGGCTGGGCAATGCCTCCTCTGGTCTCCCCAGCCCTCTAAGCTTCTGTGTCCCAGTTCTGCCCACTCTGAGTCTGCCATTCTCTAGGGACGGGGAGGTCTGTGTCACTTACCAGGCGGTGAGTTTCTTTTTTCTTTTTTGTTGAGACAGAGTCTTGCTCTGTTGCTAGGCTGAAGTGCAGTGGGTGATCTCGGCTCACTGCAATCTCCGTCTTCCGGGTTCAAGTGATTCTCCTGCCTCCAGGCTGTGAGTTTCATGGCACTAGGGCCAAGGTTGCGTAACTCATACTAGGAAGTGACTATTCAATTTCCCCATCTGTAAAATGGAGCTAATGATAGCACCTGCTTTCTAGGGTTCAGAGACGTAAATGAGGATGATGCATTAAAGCTCTTTGGTGCAATGCCTGATAAATATCACTCTGGAGACCTGGCTCCTCTTTTAAAAAATTAAAAAAAAATTTTTTTTTGGGACAGAGTCTTGCTGTGTCGCCCAGGCTGAAGTGCAGTGGCATGATCTTGGTTCACTGCAACCTCTGCCTCCCAGGTTCAAGCGATTCTCATGTCTCAGTCTCCCGTGTAGCTGGAACTATAGGCACTTACCATCACACCTGGCTAATTTTTTGTATTTTTAGTAGAGACGAGGTTTCACCATGTTGGCCAGGCTGGTCTTGAACTCCTGACCTCAGGTAATTCACCCTCCTCAGCCTCCCGAAGTGCTGGGATTACAGGCGTGAGCTACCTCAACCCGCCAAAATTTCTCAGTAACCCACCCTTTAATTAGCATGTCATTACAATGGGTTTAAATATGACTGCAAAAACTGCCCCTGAGCTGCTTACAGGGTATCTCTGCTCTGCGGGAACAGTCACAGAGCTGTAACACAGCCACCTCAATACAGCTGTTTTCTTTTGTTTTTTGTAGAGATAGGGTCTCACTATGTTGCCCAGGCTGGTCACGAACTCATGGGCTCAAGCAATCCTCCCACCTCAGCCTCTCATAAGTGCTGAGATTACAGGCGTGAGCCACTGTGCCTGGCCAAAGCTGTTTTCTTCTGCTACTTGCTCGCTCTTGGATTCTTTCCCAAGCAAAGCCAAGATCCTGCCCTGCATCAATACATCATGGCACATATGGCTGCCAGGGAGGCAGAGAATGCCTGTCCCAAGACATCATGACACACACAGATACCAGGAGGGCAGAGAGTACCTGTGCCAGAGACGTCCAAACCAGGGTGGCTCCATCTTAAATAAAGGCCAAGTAAGAAAAAACCTTCTGAGTTACATTCCCAGGAAGTTGAACACTCTTGGTCCCAAGATATTTATCTTTCAGGGAACAAGTTAATGGTACTTACTCACTAAACCAAGAACTTAAAGAAATGTCTTGGTGTCCTGATACCTTAAGCACAAAACACACTGCTAGATTAAGAATAGGTGTTGCTTGGGCTGAGCATGGTGGCTCACGCCTGTAATCCCAGCACTTTGGGAGGCCAAGGTGGGTGGATCATGAGGTCAGGAGTTCAAGACCAGCCTGGCCAACATAGTGAAACCC